CAGGTCCCCCCCCAGCCCCCCGCAGCAGCAACACAGGGGGCAGCCCCCCGGCTGCCCCCACCACCGCCAGCCATGGGGATGGGGAGGGGGACGGGCCCCCCCGCACCACAAGCACCTCGGGGGGCTGTGGCTGGACGTTGGGCACCTCCACGGTCTTGAGTTGGACATTGGGCACCTCCACGGTCTTGAGTTGGATGTTGGGCACCTTCTCCACAGTCTTGAGTTGGACGTTGGGCACCTCCATGGTCTTTAGTTGGACGTTGGGCACCTCCTCTGTGGTCTTCAGTTGGACATTAGGCACCTCCGTGGTCTTGAGATGCATGTTAGGCATCTCCGTGGTCTTGAGTTGGACGCTGGGCACCTCCACCATTTGGTGACAGGAGTTGGGCACCTCAGTGGCCTGGAGATGGACATTTGTCACCTCCATGGTCTTCAGTTGGATGTTGGGCACCTCCGTGATCTTGAGATGGATGTTGGGCACCTCCATCATTTGGTGATGGACACTGGACACTTCGTTGTCTTGGAGATGGACATTGGTCATCTCCGTGGTCTGAAGATGGACGCTGGGCACCTCCGTGACTTGGAGATGGACACCGGGCACCTCAGTGGTTTGGTGACGCACATTGGGCACCTCAGTGGTCTGGAGATGGACACTAGGCACCTCTGCGGCCTGGAGATGGACATTTGTCACCTCTGTGGTTTGGGGATGGATGCTGGGCACCTCAGTGGCTTGCAGCTGGACAGTGGTCACCTCTGCGTCCTGGAGATGGACGCTGGGCACCTCCACGGTTTGGTGATGGACGTTGGTCACCTCGGTGGCCTGCAGGTGGACATTGGTCACCTTCGTGGTCTGGAGATGGACGCTGGGCACCTCTGTGGCTTGTAGATGGATGTTGGGCACCTCAGTGGTTTCGAGATGGACATCAGGCACCTCAGTGGTTTCGAGATGGACATTGGGCACCTCTGTGGTCTGCAGCTGGATGTTGGGCACCTCCATGGCCTGGAGCTGGACGTCGGGCATCTCTGTGGCCTGGAGCTGGATGCTGGGCACGTCTGTGGCCTGGAGATGGATGTTGGGCACCTCTGTGGGCTCGAGATGGACACTGGGGACCTCAGTGGTTTGGAGATGGACATTTGTCACCTCTGTGGTCTGCAGCTGGACACTGGGTACCTCCGTGGCCTGGAGATGGACGCTGGGCACCTCCGTGGCCTGGAGATGGACATCTGTCACCTCCGTGGCCTGGAGATGGACACTGGGCACCTCTGAGGGCTGTGGCAGGGCTTGGAGCTGGATGTTGGTGATCTCAGAGGGCTGTGGCAGGGCTTGCAGCTGGACATTTGTCACCTCAGTGGCCTGCAGCTGGATGTTGGTGACATCCAAGGGTTGTGGTAGGGCTTGGAGCTGGATGTTGGTCACCTTGGAGGGTTGTGACAGGGCTTGGAGCTGGACATTTGTCACCTCGGCGGCCTGCAGCTGGATGTTGGTAACCTCAGAGGGTTGTGGCAGGGCTCGGAGCTGGATGTTGGTGACATCCAAGGGTTGTGGCAGGGCTTGCAGCTGGACATTTGTCACCTCTGCGGCCTGCAGCTGGATGTTGGTGACATCTGAGGGTTGTGGCAAAGCTTGGAGCTGGATGTTGGTGATGTCTGAGGGTTGTGGCAGAGCTTGGAGCTGGATGTTGGCCACTTTAGAGGGCTGTGGCAGGGGTTGGAGCCGGGCATTCGGCCCCCCC